TCAGTGAGTTGGTCACCGCTTCTGATTATTAAGGTGAGATAGGTGTCGCCAATGTGCACCAATGAAAAATACAGTGAAATTGATAGCAACTATATTCGTTCGGTTTTCGATCTCCATATATTGCCATATAGGCTACCATACTACAGAATTATATTAACGATATTGAACTGTATTATGTTCAATAAACGTAGTAACAAATAAATTTCATATTATCTATGTAAACAGCGCTGCGATGAAGATGTGAGTCGTAATTAGCTACAATGCCTGTTTAATATATCTGTTCCCGTTTGGATTCCGGTTTAGAAAAGGTCCCCAATAAATCATGTTTGTACTAACATGATTGTGTGTCATTGTACTCTGACAGAGGTTGTGAGACGTGGCTCACTATAACAATCACTGGTTTGCCTGAGCGGTTTGTCAGACTGGTGTATATGGAAACCAAATTACATTAGGTGTTTTTTTATGAAAGAACTCATAATTTTGTTACTTATATCTGTTGCCTGAGATATTTCCGATCGGACGTTATACATTGGGACTTTAGATTTACAGTTTTTCCTAAATTTTAGACAATTACACAATATATGTTACCTTTTTTGATAGACTATAGATCTAAATGTATGCTTATTTGAATATAGTTCTAGTTTTCCTTTTTTTATATGTTTTCGTTGCAGCAAGGGGGAAAATCTTACACGACCATTCTATAAGATAAAATGAAGAATGTTGAATCATTGAAGAATACACCAAATAAACCCTGGGCTGTGAATTATGTTAACGTAAGTACAGTTGTTTACAGTTACATTCCATTGCCTATATCCATGTTAATTGGTGTTTTCCTTTTGCTTTAAATGAATGCTAAGAATGTAGATCTATTTATATAAATCTATGCTCGTACTACGTTTTGTATTCAACCTGATTCTTGATGTCTCCGAATGAATGTTAAAAATTGTTTTAATCAGACGCTTGCAGTATACATTATTGTTTGAATATTGATAAAGTCTTATCTCCTAATGAATGTTTCTCGTCATATGATATCTTTGAAATACCTGCTCGAGATTTATTCAGCTGTTTGTATATCAGGGAAGTGGAAGTGTGGAAGCGAACACCAAAGAAAGAAGATTCTGGCATTCAATAATTTCGAAAAGTGTGTAAATGTTCAATTATCTTAAAGTATTAAAATGTCAACACAAATGTGTCTTGGCGTTCTTTGTTGAATGGTGACGTCGCATGACTGAAAGTTGAAGTATACTATAGAGGACCTGGAACTTTTCTATGGATATTACATATGTTTTCGGTCACAGCTACAAAAGCAGATATATGGGCAGGCATTTTTTTTCACCAGTCTGAACCACAATTATTTTTGTCAAGAATTTTCGGTGACAATATATTTTTTTTCGATAAAATTCGGGGCCCCGACCCTCCCCAGAATATCAAATGGTCAACCCCTTACCATGTCTGCCATTCTTATTTTGTTTCCTGCAGTACAAGCCTAAATGGTAATGGTGTCTGGCTTTGTTATAGTCATATTTATCTAGTTAACAAATCAGTGGTGTTTTTACATTTTGAACATTGTTAGCAAAACACGATCTAACTGTTAACTGGGCTCTTCGACGCCCTGGTTTTAAAACATTGGTAAAGGGTATCTCGAATCATACACATTCACGTGACTAAAGCATATTCTAAAACATTTCCGGAACATGTTTTGGGGTTGTTTTTACAACATTTTAGTGGTGAATGGTCATGAGATAACGTTGTCACAACGTACTTCATCCTTGTAACACTAAGTTATTTCACGTCGTTGTGACAACGTCCATGGTAGTACACAGAATACAACGTCAAATACAACGTTCCCACAACGTAACATACAACGTTAGGCCATGACGTTGTGACAACATAAATGTGAGTCCATAGAATAACGTTATATGGACGTAACATCCACAACGTTACCACAACGTAAATACAACGTTATCACAACGTTGTCAAAACGTGAAATTGTTAGCTGGGTCCAGAGTTTTTATGTTTCGAAAACGTATACGGAGTTATTGGAGTCTTTTCGGAATGATGATTGGTGTTTGGACAAAGAGCAGATACCCAATGGATTTGTAATTGAACTTCTCATGTAGGCTTAGCTATACGTAATTTAAATAAATATTCACATTTAAAATGCGAAAATGGCAATATTTCCGTTGTATACTATTTTCCGATGTCGTTTGTTGGACATATGCTTTGCCTAAAATAGTTGTTAATGGCGTCACATAATAGATACTTTCACTGAGAATCTAAAACTGTGACGTGTATTTGTGTGTATAATGTATTTTAAGATTAAGAAACGTATTATGGACCTAATCTCATCTTGGTCTACACTACAGTGTACAGTCACATAGCCTGTCGTTTCAAATAACACTATGAACACTTTAACCAGGAGAATTAGCCTAGACTGATGCAAATGTCAAAATATATAATTTAGTAGTGTTATTCCACCACAAGGGAAAATTCCAATATATCCTAAATATACAATTGTGTATGTTTGGTATTTCCAAAAATATACAATTTTGTATATTTGATATTTATCCAAAGGATATCCAATGTTTTTATATATGGTTAGATTAAAACACTCCGTTTCTTTTTACTTTAGTAATGAATTCTTTTGTTTCATACAGTATGTGGTTGATATTGAAAATATCACTTATGATTAAGTACCGGACAGTATGTTTGTGTATGTGACAGTAATATTTAATGCTATTTTCACTATGACAACTGTGTTTGGAGGGTTATCAAATAATTTGTTTTAATTTATGTTGACATCATTTTACATAATGATGAAATAGAACATTTGAACAGACTTTTGTAACAGAAAGATAATTAATAATATATATAATGTGTACACCAGCTGTTTTTTACAAATAAGAAGATCTATACATACAATTAGTTCAGGGTACTGTTGTACAATGACGATAAAATAAATATAATAACATGAATACCAGCTTTTTACAAATATTAATATATTACATTTTTTGAAATTAAGAAATATATAATGTACAATCAAACAGAAACAATTTCATTTAAACCATCACATATCTGTCCCTTGACAACACAAACATCACATCTTTCTTTTCACATTTTCCGAGTATCTTTATGAATTTACACTTAATACGTTGATGGCATAAACGATGCGGGACCATTGTCAGTATACATTGTCGGATGCCAGGCTTTAACTGCTTTTCCAGTTTTCAGTGGTACTTCAGTTAATAGCAAATGACCTCATCCACAGCAACAATGCGCGACTACGAAGAAAGAAACAATTTGAAACCCTTTTCTTATTTTCTACCTTTCTAAACAAAATTATTTGTCTTTTCTGTTACATAATCTATCATGTATCAAGTTATCTCACTCCCATATTACAAATGCAAAACGAATATCAACATTTTGAATAAACTTTGCCTGTTTTATGAGCCCATGTGAACTGTTCTTTATGTGGTGTTTAATGTTACTTCAAAATTATTATTTCTTTTATATACCACCGTCCTTTTCACTATCAGCTTGTTTCATAAGTAACCCTGGGCCCCGTAACCCTCCCAAACATCTTTATCAGTACGAAATAACAAGAGAATAGCCCTTTCAGAGTTATGACACGATGATTGCAAAAATGAAATAAAAAATCCATAATTTAAATTTTACAAGGAAAATTTTTGTTTCATTAAATACCTATTTTATTATGAAATGTGATGTTCTATTCCAACTTCAAGAAAGTTGTTCAATAGTTTCGTACTTTGACGATGGCATTTCACGACAATTACATATTAGTTCTTGAATTGTCAAAGTGAAATTTAATACGTATGTTTCTGTTATTTCATATTATGGTGATTCAAAATCTAAAATATTGCTTGATATTGTTTGACATTGTGATACTTCTACCTAAGTATATAAAAAGGATGTTCGTTTAGTTAATTGACATCTTTTAATTCTAAACAATGATTAGTAAGTTTGTTATCTGGTATAATGCTCTTCCTCGATTAGCATAATCAGAGGTGAGGTGAAATTGGGTTTAACGTCGCGTCCAAGATTATTGCACTTATATAGCGACGTGCATGCATGTGTGTGTGTGGCTGCTTGTACTAGTCAGGACTGATGCCGATTTATAGTGCTAGCTCACTGAGATACCATGCCGCAGTTTAACATGAATACCCCACTCAGACACAGTATACTGACTCCGAGCCGACCAGTCCTTGTTTTAGCCCCTTAATGCCGAGCGCCAGACAGGGTAACAACAAGTACAATCTTTTAACGTCTTTTGGTATGACGCGGCCCGGGATCGAACCCTGGACCTACCGCTCTCCGGGCGGACGCTCTACCACAAGACCACGGAGGCGGTCTAGCATAATCAGAACAGAGTTTGTAATTAGTTATATACGGACTCAAGTTAACGAAGGCGGCTAACATCAGTGGAGAGTTTGAGCAACTAAAGAGGAGGCGAACAACTCAATGTGCCTCTATGAACTTGTGGAATTTGAATGAATAAACGAACGCCCGTCACAAATATGCAGTCAAACATTGAATTCACAGAATCGCAGATTTTTCCATCGTACATTTGAGCGGGAACGTGAACGAACCCGTGCAGGATGCCTTACAGCGATATGTTTTCAGAACACGCAGTGAGCTCAGGTAAGTTTAATTATCGGAAGCACCTGTCACGCACACAATTTGCATAAAAACATTATGCTCACATAACTGCATTGTATGGGCAGAATGGACAAACCCAACATGAACAAGTAGAAATTTGCAAAGGCATAGGTTGGGAACCTATTACGAGAACACGCGTTTAGTACAGCTAGAACGCTATGAACATTCGCTCAAACGCGCTAATACCATTTATACCTGAGCTTAGATAGCCTGTTTAACACATGTTGAGTCAACAGCCGTAAGGGAGTTGCGACAATACCAGGAAGCTGTCATTTGAAGGCCAGTGATTAGCCATGAAGAAAATCCTGATATGTGCTATTGTCTGTTTCATTGTGACTGGATTTACTGTATATCTCCATTTGAACTGGAATACATTCAGCCTTTCACGGTATGTATACTACATTGTGATGTATGTATAATGTATGATTGGTACAGTATGAGTCATAATTATTGAAAATTGAAAAATCTTTACAATTATAAATATGAAAATCCCCCCCCCCCCCAAATAAAACATATTTTAAGTGAGCACAAACCTTCTTTAATCACATCACAGTAACGTCAATATTTTATCAGACCACCATTTGCTTCTAAACACAGTTTTATACGATTGGGCATACTTCCTATGAGAGAGGTTAGAGTCTCGTGGGCGAGAGAGTCCCAATATCGCACCACCTCGCGCTTCATGTCATCAACTTTTGTCAGTCCCTTTTTGGTTCACCGACTACTTCATGAGTCCCACACATTTTCTATCGGATTAAAGTCCGGGCTGTAGCTAGGCAAGTCCAAAACGGTCACATTGCTGTCCTCAAACCACTGCCGCGCATGTCTTGCGGTGTGTTTGGGGTCATTATCCTGTTGCAAAATCCAAGTATTTCCATAAAAAAAACATCTGCATTTGGGATCAGGTGAGCTTCCAAAATGTCTGTATACCTTTCACTGGTTAAATTACCCCCAAAGACGCACATGGGCGTCGTTCCAAGTGAAGATATCCCTCCCCAAACATGAAGCTTCGGACTGTACTTTGGTCTCTGGTACAATGGAACCGAATGACATTTTGTCCACATTTTAACATTGTTAGGATACACCCATACAGAGCTCTCATCTGTGAAAATAACACTGTTCCAGTCAAAGTTTTCATGCGCCAAACACCACTCTACACGTCTATCCTTGTGTTCTTGTTTCAAGAGCGGAGAGGCAATTCCTTTCTTTTTTTCCCATCCAAGTTCAATCACATTTCTTCTTACTGTAGATTTGGATACATTTACTGTACCATTTAATGTTGAATATTTGAGATACTCGCCCTTCTGTTTTTAGAAGCCAAAATACCCAATCTCATTGATCACCAAACACCAGTTTTCGAGGTCTCCCCGCTCCTTTTCTGTGCTCAATTCCTGAACCATTCTCAATATTCTTCTTAACTCTATACACTGTAGAAAGAGGAGTATCTGTGCTCTTTGCTAATGTAGCAGCATCAGTGATGCTTTCATCATGGAGCTGTAGAATCAACCTTTTTTTCTCCTCTGCATTCATTTCTGACATATATCAGGAAAAGTCGTCTGCTCCATAATCAAGGGAGATAACTCTAATTTGCAACTTCTAAAATTGAAGAAGAGTGGCTTCCCTTTGACCATACCGCAATTTTAAACACTTGTCAATATTGATATTTTATGTATGCTTCCTTGAATATGATATTAAAATTCACAATAATTTTGAACCAGACTATATGTATCTGATTGTAATTCCGAGCAAAATATCTACCCGGCCAGTTGGTTTTAATTTACCAGGACTGACGGTCCAAGTGAGCTTAATTCCCCTGTCTGTTCGTCTTTCTGTCCGTCCGTACTTTATCGTTTGATTCAATGGACTAACCTAAACATATAAAACAAGCGAGCAGCATTGTACAAAAACATTCAGTTACTTTAGTTATTTAAATATGAAAAATTGTGAAAATCCGTTTGTAATCTTCTTCTCAGAAACCACAAGGCCTAGGATAATGAAACACTGATATGCTGCAAAGAAATACCATTGAATTACTATCAAAGTTAGTTGTAAGTCCTGGTTGTACATGTATATGTGCTATGCAAGTGCCTGTGAATCTGATTTGCATATTTTGTATATATGTATATTATACATGATATCCATATTTGACTTATACCCTGATGATATGCACTTTACTAAACATGTTCAAAGGTGTTTAAATTCTAGACATCTTTGGATTATTGGGATGTTGTGTTTAGATGGTGTTTAGGGTATGGGGCGATTGCTCATTTCATATGGACCCGAAACGTGCTCAGACAGAACACAGCAAATGCCATGCACATTTGCTGTGTTCTATCTAAACACGTTTCGGGATTTAAACACATTTCTAAACATTTCTTGTATGTGTTTACCTTCTCAACTCAATTTTACAGTGTGGCTTAAGTAGTTAATTATATTATCTGATAAGTGATATTTACTAATCTTCATCCTCTTCGTGCAATCTGCCCGGCTGGATAGCAAGATTCGTTTTTTTACTAACCTGGCTGCTGTTACTAGTTATGTTAGTAGAATTCAAGAGGCTTTTTTTCTCAGTGTAGCTATGCAATTACTTCAGCACCTACATTTGTATTTAGGTTTCGGCTAATTCTATAATTCTCACTAGCATGCAAATCCCACTCAGCCAACATGTACACAGTGGTGTCAATATTGTTCCAGGCACTGTCACGACCAACTGGGGTATTTCTTAGCTGTTAACACGAATATGACTAAATATTGCATCAATATTATCGACATAAGGAAGTACAATGTGTTTATGAGATCTTTGATAGACGTTTAGAAGTTGGAAGAATATGAATACATGACACTTTTTATGGATAACAACTTCTTTTATTCTTTGTGATGATGTTTCAGAGCTACTTCTTGCTCCTTAAATCCTTATATATAAGACAGCTACGCGATACTTCGCAAAGAACAAAGAACGAAGCGAGGTTTATTTCACGATGAAACATTGTTCTATCATGACGTCATTTCTGTTATTTCGAATATGCGTTCGCAACTTGATGACGTCATGTTTTGGACGACGTTATTGTTTAGAGAGAACTGTCCAGTAAATAGTTCCCAATAGATGTAGCTGGGATACGAGATAAACGCAGAGGCAGAACGATCGCATCCAAGAGTGGGAGAGATATCACAATCGATATTAGGAGCATAGATACTGATAACCGACGTGAGGATTGTGAAAATATGCGGGAAATACCAAACTGAACCCACCTGTTCATAAAATGGATTTGTCCGCCTTTTCCGAGGTCGGATTTTATTCAAGGAGTCATTATTATTAAAATTTGCCTAATATTTTTAAAGCTTGTACATTTTATCAACATCCCTAAAGAGCCTTACATAATGTTGATATCTCATGTAAGAAACAAGAAAAAAAACGACTCGTGGTCGTTGTTTATTGCACAATAAAACACTGCAGGGAGAATAAACCACTCAGAGCTGTGCCACACATGGTTTATCCTCCCTGCAGTGTTTTATTGTGCGATAAACAACGACCACGAGTCATATATATATAATGAAATACACATTTATATATTCAATTTGAAAATCATTATATCCTTATTTTTCTAAACATCTAATGTTTACAGGTTGAATAGTATACTTATTCGGACGTCCAACTGAACGGAACAGTTAGAAACCTTGGGCGTATTCCCCGTATTATTGTTTATATACATTGTAAAAAAGGTGATAAACCCATGTCCACATTCATAAAAAGGAGATTGTTCGATTCATCATGAGCATGTGTTTATGGATCACTTAGGAGATAAACCTACAGTGTTTTGAAATGCGATGTAGTCCCACTGTAGAGTAGATACCTCTTTCTTTTAATTTGGAACCGAGCGCCTAGGTAAACTTCTCCTGTTAAATTACAGGGCTATAAAACTGAACTTTAACATGTTTCGTGTTATGATGACATCATGTTTGGCTCAAAACATAACGATTAAACGTTTGTTTGGCAGACTTAGTCGTCAGCATTTACAGAACACATGTTTTATTAATTGTTCAGGTGAGCTACAGTGCCGTGATATTATTTTACGATTATTTTAACTGTATACACCATAGACCTGGCGGATCATTCTGGACAAAAAAAACTTGTTATTGAATATTATTTTCTTTACCAATACTAATCATGCCACAAACCGAGGATGTTGTCGTTTCTTCAAAAAAGTAATGCATAAATAACAAAATAGTATTAAGTGGTTTTTCAGTTAACCTATTGTGGCTCATATGGTCTTATGTTTGACATCCAAATTCAAATAATTGTCTCGTGATGCTATGCAGCATGTGTTTGCTTGTTGACAGAATCAACACCGCGAGAGCCCACCCATGTGGTGCTACTTACACATGTAGAACTATGCCAAATTTCTAATGACACGAATGCCCATTTATGCCTAGAAGCAAGTTATACAATGACATAAAATAATTCACATAGGTTTAGTTCCAACCCCGATCTTTGTGTATCTAGTATGATCGAGGGAACGGCATCAATGTAATTTATGCAATCATATCTATCATATTTCTTATAAAACAGGCAAGAAGAAGGCATCCCCGTGGACACCAATTACGCTCCCCTTCTTGCTGATCCGTTTCTTTATGTAAATGATTCGGAAATTTCTGCTCGGATTGGCAAAGTCAAAACAAGGTAATTTGGCCAAACAGTTTAACTCAAGCGTCAGATATATCGATGATCTGATATCGTCCAGTAACCATCAAATAGACAATTCCCTTCTCACTGATTTACCTACCTGAATTGGAAGAAAGAAGACCAGTGTCATCATCTCGTATGTGTCATATTTAGATCTGTGCATAAAGATTCAGAATGACGAAAAACACCCTACAAGAATGTATGGCAAGTAGAATGACTTCACCTCCCCACAGTCAACTATCCCATCATGTCGAGCAATATGCCAACAGCTTCAGGCTTTGATAGCGTCAAACGACTATTGCGCAAAATTATTTTGATCAAGGTTACACCATTCAAGGCCTCAGTAAAAATTTCAAAATATTTTATGGTAAACACGTGAAGGACATCTCAGTTAGCTATTGCGTCATGCATTTCCAAAAGAGGCAAATAATTGTATTTCAGCTCATGCTAATGCCCAAATGTTGGCTGGCAATTAGACAGATTATGTTCGTTTAAAATGACCGATATTGCAATGTTCTTGATTCTTAGTCGACAAATGAAAACAGACAAAAATAGAACAGATGAAAACACACACAAGTAGAACTGATGAAAACACACACACAGATAGAACACATGAAAACACACACAAATAGAACAGATGAAAACACAAACACAAATAGAACAGATGAAAACACACACAAATAGAACAGATGAAAACACAAACACAAATAGAACAGATGAAAACCCACACAAATAGAACAGATGAAAACACACAACTAGAACAGATGAAAACACACACAAATAGGACAGATGAAAACACACAACTAGAACAGATGAAAACACACACAAATAGAACAGATGAAAAAACACACACAAATAGAACAGATGAAAACACACACAAGTAGAACAAATGAACACACACAACTAGAACAGATGAAAAAACACACACAAATAGAACAGATGAAAACACACAAATAGAAAAGATGAAAACACACACACAAATAGAACAGATGAACACACACAAATAGAAAAGATGAAAACACACACACAAATAAGAGATGCAAACACACACAAATAGAGCAGATAAAACACACACACAAATAGAACAGATGGAAACACAAACACAAATAGAACAGATGAAAACACACAAATAGAAAAGATGAAAACACACACACAAATAAGAGATGCAAACACACACAAATAGAGCAGATAAAACACACACACAAATAGAACAGATGGAAACACAAACAAAAATAGAACAGATGAAAACACACAAATTGAAAAGATGAAAACACACACACAAATAAGAGATGCAAACAACACAAGTAGAACAGATGAACACACACACACACAAATAGAACAGATGCAAACACACACAAATAGAACAGATGAACACACACACACACAAATAGAACAGATGGAAACACAAACAAAAATAGAACAGATGAAAACACACAAATTGAAAAGATGAAAACACACACACAAATAAGAGATGCAAACACACACAAATAGAGCAGATGAAAACACACACACAAATAGAACAGATGAACACACACACAAATAGAACAGATGAAAACACACAAATTGAAAAGATGAAAACACACACTCAAATAAGAGATGCAAACACACACAAATAGAACAGATGAACACACACACACAAATAGAACAGATGGAAACACAAACACAAATAGAACAGATGAAAACACACAAATTGAAAAGATGAATACACACACTCAAATAAGAGATGCAAACACACACAAATAGAGCAGATGAAAACACACACACAAATAGAACAGATGGAAACACAAACAAAAATAGAACAGATGAAAACACACACACAAATAAGAGATGCAAACACACACAAGTAGAACAGATGAACACACACACAAATAGAACAGATGGAAACACAAACACAAATAAGAGATGCAAACACATACAAATAGAAAAGATGAAAACACACACACAAATAAGAGATGCAAACACACACAAGTACAACAGATGAAAACACACACAAACACACAACTAGAACAGATGAAAACACACACAAACACACAAATAGAACAGATGAAAACACACACACACAAATAGAACAGATGAAAACACACAAATAGAACACATGCAAACACACAAATAGAACACATGGAAACACACACACACACACACAAATAGAACAGATGAAGACACACACAAATAGAACAGATGAAAACACACACACAAATAAGAGATGCAAACACACACAAATAGGACAGATGAAAACACACACACAAATAAGAGATGCAAACACACACAAATAGAAAAGATGAAAACACACACACAAATAAGAGATGCAAACACACACAAATAGAAAAGATGAAAACACACACACAAATAAGAGATGCAAACACACACAAGTAGAACAGATGAACACACACACACACACAAATAGAACAGATGGAAACACAAACACAAATAGAACAGATGAAAACACACAAATAGAAAAGATGAAAACACACACATAAATAAGAGATGCAAACACACACAAGTAGAACAGATGAACACACACACACAAATAGAAAAGATGGAAACACAAACACAAATAAGAGATGCAAACACACACAAATAGAAAAGATGAAAACACACACACAAATAAGAGATGCAAACACACACAAGTACAACAGATGAAAACACACACAAACACACAACTAGAACAGATGAAAACACACACAAACACACAAATAGAACAGATGAAAACACACACACACACACACAAATAGAACAGATGAAAACACACAAATAGAACACATGCAAACACACAAATAGAACACATGGAAACACACACACACACACACAAATAGAACAGATGAAGACACACACAAATAGAACAGATGAAAACGCACATAAATAGAACAGATGAAAGCTTACACGCACAGATAGAACAGATGAAAACACACACAAATAGAACAGATGAAACACACAAATAGAACAGATGAAAACACACAAATAGAACAAAAGAAAACACACATAAATAGAACTGATGAAAGCTAACACGCACAGATAGAACACATGAAAACACACACGAATAGGACAGATGAAAACACACACAAATAGAACACATGAAAACACACACAAATAGAACACATAAAAACACACACAAATAGAACAGATGAAAACACACACAAATAGAAAAAATTAAAAACCTCTCTCAAAGTATAGAGCTGCTGTATCCAAGAATCACTAGTTTGACTTATATGTATATTGGTATGGCGATTATTTGGATCTGTTAGATGATTGATGTATTGATAGTATGCAATTGATAATATTTTAGGGGCTACTTTCCAACAAGAGGAACGACATATCTCACAGAGGAGGTAATCAGTTATGGACATGTCTCTGTGATTTCATTATGTGCAAATGCGAAAAAATCCCGTGTGTCACTCAACCACGCTCATAAAGTCTACAGTTTAGGAGAGCAGATTCAAGTGCAAGTAGATCTGTATGATTTGTATGGTAACCGCAAGTTAACGGGAGGTGACGTTTTGAGAGTTTGGATGGAGAACCCAGAGACAGCAGCTTCCGTTTCCAGTCGGGTGTCGGACCACAATAACGGAAGTTACACTGCTCTGCTTAGAGCCGCATGGTCAGGAAGCGCTACGATTAAGGCATTCATTGCTTCGAGGAAGGAGGAGGTAGTTCTCAGCTATATGATATACCAACAGCATGGCAGTCTCTGGACAGTGTTAGCTGAATTCCGGGCAAACAATCTAACAGATGCAACAGCGTGTTCAGTTAGACAAGGGAATTCCTTCAAGACAAACGAGTGGTGTAATTTCACGAATGAGAACAATGGCTACAGTTGGTACTGTAAGAAGTCCAAAATCAAGCAGTTAACATGTGATACGTGGTCACATTCGTTTAGTGCAAATGACAACATAAGCTTTCATCTTAATAACACCGAGAGAAGCATTTTGGATTGGTATGTATATTATATTTTTAATTATTTCTCTTTAAATACCTTGGTGTGCTAGTTAGGTTTAAAGCCGCTTTGAACGGTATGCTGTTCACTTGATATGAGAGGAAAACCGAGAAGTCGGTGATATGAAAGTTGACATCTATGACATGTGCCATTTTGAATTATTACCTTATTTATAACTTCTAGGTTTTGTGACTGACAGAGTAACTTTAACAAATAAATATGTTTTATTCCTAACACAGGCCGTTGGTAGCTTTAAAACAAGATGTTTTACAGAGTTCAGTGAGGGTGTCAGTTGGAGGAGGTAAGCATGTGTTGCGTTTGTATATCATTCACTGGACAAATCATTCATTCATAGTGTTGACAGGAGGCATACAGTTGTGTCACCCACTGGGCAAATCTTTAATTCATAGTGTTGATAGAAGGCATACAAGTTGTGTCACTCACTGGACAAATCATTCATTCATAGTGTGGACAGGAGAGATACTAGTGTGTCACTCACTGGGCAACTCATTCATTCACAGTGGTGACAGGAGGTATACAGTTGTGTCACTCACTGGGCAACTCATTCATTCATGGTGTTGACAGGAGCCACACAGTTGTGTCACTCACTGGGCATCTCATCCATTCATAGTGTTGACAGGAGGCATACAAGTGTGTCACTCACTGGGCAACTCATCCATTCATAGTGTTGACAGGAGGGATGCAATGCACAAGGCTACAACGTTGCCCCTGCCGCCAGGCTAAAATAGTCCTTATAATCAGGCTGGAGTTTAAAGGATCGAGTGAATGCTATTTTACGTCACAACAATATATAACGCCAACAGGTGATTACATGGGATGAGTATCGTACCACCAGTTCGGGACACAATGACACACAATCAGTAAGGTCACAAGTTGTAACAAGCCGTTCCTGAGAAGCATTGCTCAGTGATGATCTATTCTCACCCAGAACCGCACTGCAAAGACAATACATAGTAACATGTTATCCATATATGACTACGAGGCCATAAAACATAAGATATGATTAGGTTCCGGACATGTACAATTCTCTTCAAAGAAAATAAACACGAACCTGAAGCATACATTTCCGCATAAATTCTACAAAATATCTGGCTTACAAATTAATGTAGACAAGACAAAAGCAATATGGATAGGCTCAAAAGCGGGTAGCAATGATCGTTTATGCCAAGACTTACACATAGAATGGCACAATAAGGAATTTGAAATATTAGGAATTATGCTTAATCCAAACTTAAGTGAACCATGGGTAATCACTACAAAAAGAAAGCTAGAAGAAATAAATAGATTGCTTGCAAATTGTAGAAAAAGAAATCTAACGCTAATAGGAAAAATTACATTCATAAAAACTTTAGCATTGTCAAAACTAGTTGATATATTTTCGACAAGATCTAACCCTCCTGAGGACTTTGTCTTGTCACTTGACACACTATTTTTTCAATTTTATCTGAAATAGTAAAAAAGACGAAATCAAAAGGAGCACTTTGACGAGAAAATATTTACGTATGATAAACATTAGAGCCTTTATTGACGCACTAAAACTCTCTTCGCTCAGATTATATTGTTAAAAAACTACATATAGTAACCCTTGTAATATCCCAATTAAAGATATACTATCTTGTGGTGCTAATGTTGACAAGCAATCTTTTGTTAAAAACCCGTACTGGAAAGATGTATTGAAAGCTTGGAACAACTTTTGTGAGAAGAACATTATTAATGTTGATAATATAGAAGAAATTTTGTCCCAACCATTGTGGCTTAACCACAACTTCAAACAAGCAACATGCTACATAAAGCAATGGGCTAATAGTTGAATTTACTCAATTAAAGATATATGCAATGAAAACAGACTGATGTCATTTGAAGAACTGAAACTAAAATATCCGATAAAAGGTACAATATTAGACTAAATTCTATAGATATGTAATCTTCAATATACCAGAATTATGGAAAACAACAATCAAGAAAACTAGAAAAATAATTAGTTGCAGTTGCTTGAGTGATCTGATGACGCCTGTAAAAGGCGCTAGACTCTTTTATGATAAATTGATATCAAATGAAAATAATCTTAAACTTCGTGATAAATGGCAATCAATTTTTCACTGTGATTTTAATTGGAAAACGATATTTATTGTTTATAGATACAAACTGAAGGATGTAAAACTTATTTACACAAAGAAGGAACTACTAACAATGAATCTTGTGGACAACACTGTTTGTAGCTTTTGTAGTGTATTCAATGAGGACGCCAGCCATGTCTTTTTGGGAATGTAATGAAACTAAACAATTTTGGAATGATCTCGAACTTTGGCTTAACAATTATCTTTTGCACAAAATTAAATAAACAAAATATCTTATTTGGTTGGGTTCTAACTTCTTCTAATACTTTGATCAATCATATTGTTTTATTGGGGATAAGGCATATTCATGTAAGTGGAATTAAAGGAACCAAACCGAAATGAGATATACTTTTAAAACTATTTAAAAACATATATTCAATCGAGAAATTGATTGCTATAAAAAAGGATGACAAAAATAAATTTAACAAAAAATGGTCACCTTTTTTCTCAGCATTTGACTCATAGCTCTCTGTTGATACATGATATGTTTGATTCTGATTGTGTGTTGCAACCGTTTTGGTTTGAAATGGGACAATGTTTGTTTCCTAACCTTTAATTTTTTAAAGAGTTTATTGTGCCGTTCTATGCAATCCGAAATGTGTCTTTGACGGAATACTGTATTAATCCACAACTCTGGGAATAATAAAAAAAGTTGTTGTTTTTAAAAAAAATAATAATAATAATTTCCGCATCACTTGGGGGTAGATATAGCCTTTTCATTACCAACACTAGAAGCATGAATATGTACGTCTCCAACATTGATTTCTTCATCCTTAACCCATTTCTTTTCACAGGTCCTAAGGGTGTAAAACTATCAGCTCCTTCAACTTCCTGCAATGCGCTTCCAGCGGAAATGACATGGCGACGAACGTCCCCGAATGGTTACTTTCACCAGAACAAGTGGCATTCGCTTCTGTGTACTGACACACTGCCTCACACCATTGATGCTTACAGACAGTGCTTGAAAGGAAGAACGCTGTGGCTTCATGGGGATTCAACAAGTAGACAGTTTAAAGAAGTTCTTCATTCAATTTTACGCTTTCCCTCCCATACAGATCGTCATGTACCTGTTACTGACACAGATTTGATACATAATTTTTCAATTTCATATCATGCTCACGAACTACCGTTCTATCATGGATCTCGACACTATAAAAAGTCAGTAAACCAGGCACAGTACATCATGGTGGACCGCCTCCCGAACACCACCAAGGACATTGTAGTGTTATATATGTATGCTCATTTCGTGTTTGTCCATCCGGATGTGTTTAGGCGACATGTTCAAAGACTTGTTCCGTCTGTCAGGAACCTCTTGGCACGCGCTCCTAATGTTACTATTGCAGTTCGTGGGCCACATGCATTTTTCACACCGAAGCGTGGTGTGTTATCTTACTGGGGTAATCTGTACACTGATATTTGGCATGAAGAATTTGCTTCATTGCAAGACAAAATTGTCTATTTAGATTTTTGGGACCTGACTATGGCAAAGCCATCTCAGGATATCCACCCAAACACTGCCATAGTGAAGGAAATGGTACACAACATGATGTCATTGTTGTGCTTTAGAAAGTGAAGGAATTGTTTTGTCATGTGGATATATACTCAATTGACTGTATTATAACACGAGGGTTGTATTTCTTCAGATAAACTGGTGTTCTGTCTTTGTATCACGTTCTTTCAATTTACATCTTGAAATATTTGGAAATTTCACATATAGGTCTTCAGCACCCTCATAAAAATATTCTTGATCATGTTAATATCAGGATAATTGCTGCAGTTATTTGTAAAATATATTGATTATTAAGTTTATATAACTGTAGATTCCTTTTATGTGACACCAAAGTATCAGTTTGGTTTAAGGAAATAGTTTAGAAAAGATCCACGAAATACATTTGAAACATTTTGTTAAACGAATGGTTTATGTTATATCACACAAAAACATTATATTTTATGTCTTATCGTTATTTAATCTGTATTCAGTACTTAGAAGGGGTAACTGTTGTTTCTCAAATAAATGATTAATATCAGAGCAACACCTTAAGTAAATCCGGTGTCGTGCCGGGTAAGCGAAAATCCAATTTTCACTAGTATCAGTAAAGCGAAAACCCAAGTTGGGGTATTTGTCCTACGAAGGCGAGAAATGAGTAATTGCTATAAAAACACCGGATTACCGTAGTTTAGATTAGCGCCCGTGCTGTTCAAACAGAGGAGAGGAGAGAAGATTTACTAGAGAGTCGTTTCGTAAAAAAATAATACAGTTGGAACAAAACGGAACTAATAAAACGCATCTAAAAACACAATAATCTACCAAATCAAAATCACATAAACAAACAAACATCCACCATACCCAGCTCCCTTAATTCTCCAACCCCATCGACACCTATTCCAAATCTCAAAATTCCCAAATTCTATATAAGCAACCCCTAAAGCCCCTCTTGGGTTGCACACACCACTTTCACCACTTTCGCCCCTTTCGGAAACACATTAAATGGCCTGACCGGGCCCGTGTGCGAAATACGCATCAGTCGGAAAGCGCACGTTAAATCTCCAAAGTAAGTAAGTTATCTATGTCCAAAATGGCTAATGCACAAGTTCGAGTGACCATGGTTGATACCGTGCGAGGTGGTCAGCACTTGTTCAGGCTCTGAAAGACAATCTCGTCAACAACGTCATCGGCGACGTTGAGTACACAGATCACGTTGGTGACCTGATCCACTTGGAGTGAATGACTTGAACACAACGTGTATGCCAGTGCAACCGCAAATTTATTATAGAATGTATTTATGTATTTACCATTATATTTTAAGATATAAGTTATTGTTGTTTTTGTAGAAATTATAATGTACATCTATGAAATATTAAAGTATTAGAGTTATTAAATTTGTTAAATGTAAAGTATTTTTGTGCAACTATACTATACTTCAGAATCTAATAAATTACTACTGTAATTACGGTATACGCATTTCTGTGTTTTTCTTGTAATTTGAGAGTCCCGGTACAGCAATATCCCGTGTTTACTGTAGCGTGACCAGTCTTACTGTAGCTTCATGAAAGCGAAGAGATTTTAGAGTTGATTATGGCTAGGTTTCGCTCTCCCGGCCCAGAACCGCTAATCCAGCTAATACATTGATTAACGACATGAGCAATGATCCACGCCGTCCAGGAACCCGTTACACAGAGCGATCTCAGTGCTAAGTTGGCCGTAACTCCAATACTTTATCATAGGCTTACGATCAACGTAGCACTAGGATTGCGTTATGGAACAGGGCCCAGGATTCACACATTTCAATCGTTTCGTGGTGATAATGGGAACTGGTGTATGTAATTCGCTGTATTCGTTTCCGTTCCATGTTAAAGTGGAAGGTCATGATCATCTTCATGTTGTAGTTTATCACCAGAAGTTTCGCTCGAATTGAATCTTTCTTTCTCGTTCAACTACAGTTGATTGACACCGTGTCTACCTGCACCCCCTGACCAGCACCAGATACACGCGTCTCCCCGTACCCCCAGACTACCACCTGATTTCTCTGTATCTCCCCGTACCCCTGACTGGCACCAGACACCCTGCTTTTCCCCGTAAACTCTGAATAGCACCAGACACCCTGTGTCTCCCCGTACCCCACTAACTAGCACCAGACAATCTGTGTTTCCCTGTATCCCCAGGCTAGCACCTGACACCCAGTGTCTCCAGTACATCCTGTCTAGCATCGGAGACACCCCTCTATCTCTCCGTACCCACTCACTACCATCAGATTCCTCTGTGTCTTCCCCTTCCCCTGACTAGAACCAGACACCCTGTGTTTCCCCGCACCCCCTCACTCGCATCAGAGACACCCCTGTATCTCCCTTGAACCCCTGACTGCCACCAAACTGTATCTCCCCGTACATCCTCCCTAGCATCAAAGACAACCCTGTGTCTCCCTGGACAACTTGACTACAACCAGATACCCTGCGTCTCCCCGTAAGCCCTGAGTAGCACAAGACACCCCTGTGTCTCCCCGTAACCACTGACTAGCACCAGATACCCTGCGTCTCCCCGAAAGCCCTGACTAGCACCATGCACCCTGTGTCTCCCCGTACCCCCTTACTAGCTCCACACACCCTGTGTCTCCCCGTACCCTCTGACCAGCACCAGATACCCTGCGTCTCCCTGTACCCCCTAACTAGCACCAAACACCCTGCGTCTCCCCGTACCCGCAAACTAGTTGATAAGCCTCAATGGTTTTTAGAATGTCCTTTTCAAGATCCGTAAGCCAGCAACAAATATTTTACGCGCGTTTCCTAAGGTTCATGGAAAGTATGTTCAAAACATAAAAATGTTGATAAATGTTGTTTTAAGTTTCTTTTTTCGGTTTATAAGCATGGAAAAACACTTTCCCTCGAATTTGGTGGACAGAGCATGCCCTGGGGGTCGGGAAAAACCGCGGGGGCTTCGGGGGCTTAGTAATAAGCCAAGCGTATTTAAAGTGATGTTACTTACAAATGCAGTCACAAGTCATAATATCGGTGTAATGATGTAATGCTCTCTCTAGACATGAAAGTGTGCTTAGCTCTACCTATAGCTATAGCTATATCCCCTACCTTTCCAGCTATCCGACCCCCTGTATCTTGTATCCTGTATCATAAGACACAACACCACTGCTTGACTGTAATCGTTTCTTTTCTCCTTATTAAGGTATAATCAAGTCCAAACACGGGACAAAAGCTTGATTGTACATTACTCAGTAGGTGATGTCTTAATTAATCCCCCCCCCCCCCCCCCCTACACACTCCCTGGCTGTGTAACAACTGGGAATATAGAGGTGTGTGACAAATGTGTGACTAATGGGAGATAACCAACAATTGAAGTGGCAATACATTCTCTAATTAACACCTGCCACAAAGGGACTGGTCGTTTAGTTTGGGCTCATGGTATCCTACCGGGAGCAGATTAAAGAAAGGAGGAGTTTTTTTAAGACAATGTTGTTGTTGTCCACTACTGCTCATTGTCTCAACATACTGATAATCCCTCATAGCAGGGGAGTAGACCAGTCCATTCATTAATTAGGTGTGACCAGCATGGCCCAATTAATTAGTGAGCTAATTTTAACTGCTTTTTGGGAGGTCTGCATTTTGGAGGTTTACGTTATGGGAGGGAACCGTGCTCATGGGCGGTGTTACGCAATTGGTGTATTCACGAAATAACAACCAACTATTTACATTGTCCTTTGACATTAATGAACGTGTAAATAGATCATTGGTTATGCTGTCCAAACGCTGGCGGATTGATGCATGCGTACTTGGTATACAAAATGAATTACAATTGGTTCTTACAAACCCCTACCAAACTCTTATCGACCGATCTCACTCACCTCAAACATGTGCAAAGCTATGGAAGCCATGGTTACGAAAAGGCTCATGCATCACCTTGAAACTGACAACCACATCAAACCTGACCAAAGTGGCTTCAGGAAGGGACACTCGTGTCTACATCATATTCTAAGACTGGAAAATGAAATAAAAAAGCTCAATTAAACAGACAATACCTAGCCGCAGTATTTCTGGACTTCAGCAAAGCCTTTGACATGGCATGGCATGACGGACTCCTCACAAAACTAGCACAAAATGGAGTAGAATGGAACATGGCAAGCTTCATAGACAGCTTCCTGCAAGACAGGTCGCTATCAGTTAAAATAGGGAACAATCGATCTGATCCTATGTCACTGGACAATGGCACGCTACAAGGCAGCATTATAAGCCCAGCCCTGTTTAATATCATGATCAATGATCTTTTTGACCATGTCAACTCTCCTACCCAAACTTCTAAATTCTGATGACGGAGCAATATGGGTAAAGCACAGAGATATTTCACAAATCAGAAAAAAACCCAGTCAGCCCTGGACTTAGTAGATCAATGGTGCAATAAATGGAGATTCTCACTTTCAAGTGAAAATACTGTTGGAGTTCTATTCAAACGCCGGGGGAAAGATGCTTTGATACCCCATGTCTTCATAAAAGGCAAACCATCCAAATTCGAAAAATCCGCAATATGGTTTAAACATATTTTTATTTATTTTCACAAAAGTGTGAAAATGGATTGGTAAACAAGCGAAGCGCTTATGTGAATACCGCTCCATTACGCATAGGACATATTACAATAAATAAATAAATCAAGGTTAAATGTAACAAATGAATTGTACATGCCAAGCTAGATGTGTATATATAATAAATCTATTTGCAGTTTATTTTAAACAATTCATTTAACTGAAAATCTGCCAGTTTTTAATATAAAGTGTTGATAGAATCTAATATAAGCATTTGCTCTTCCTTACTCAAATACAAATTTCCGC